AGGGAAGGGAAGGGAAGGGAAGGGAAGGGAAGGGAAGGGAAGGGAAGGGAAGGGAAGGGAAGGGAAGGGAAGGGAAGAGCAGAATATCAAATTTCTGTATTCTAGTATTTAAAATCTAGTATTTAAATGACACATTCTGTTTAAGTCAAAGTTAAAAAAAAAAAAGAAAAAAAGAAAAAAGAACATGGCATTAGTAATCCTATCTAATTTGATAGTATTCACCTTTGTCTCTCTGGAAAGATAGATAACTTTGGGTATTGGGATCAGGGGAAGGAAGAGTTAGAATGTTAGTTATGAAGTCCTACATAATCCACTAGCAGAAAAGATGTCAGAGAATTCAACTTCTCAGTTCCCAAATGCTGGTTCTTACTGTTCTATGGCTTAAGTTTATCTTTGAGGTATGATTGTTTGATAAATAAAAATATGGAAGTCACTGGGGATGGGAAGAACATACTGACCAGGTATTCATAAAAGAGAAATCCTCTTCTACCTTTATAGGTGATATTTATCATGATAAGAGTTTTTTTGGTTTATTTTCTCCGCAGAAAAGGGGAACATATTGACTCAGACTGAACAAATATTAAAATATAAAAAAGTTATAAACCAGTAAGACAGTGCAGAGTATGAAAATATTATTATCTATTTAACAGTATATACAAATAGACAGAAAAATCTTTCAGCCAGGAGAATCATACACAGAAAATTTGCCAGCATAGTTTACAGTTGGAATTGTCATCAACACAGAGAACACTATGTCTGCAGTCTTAAATTCATAAACTGATGGGTAACTCAAGACATTTAATTTACACTGCCTAAGGACTAAGTCTCCAATATTTTCAGGGCGCAGACCACAGAAGCCTCTGCTCTACCTTCCTTTAGGTTTGTATAAAATCGATTGTTTCTAAAGTTGAACAAATGCATGAGAACTGCAGATCAACAATAATGCTTTTTGCAGAGCTGTGCTCTTCAGTTTTTCCTCAAGCCCACTCCAGCTACCACGGGGGAGCCTTCCAAATGAAGTGTGAAATAGTTTAAAGAGTTACAAAAAAGTAATGGCTGTTATAAACTATTTCCAGTTCCACTTAGTTTTATACTGCTGGTGCATCAGTACATGAATACCACAAAGTTGAAAGCTAAATATTTCACTCTGCTGGGCAATATGCTGCCTGCATTCAATAAGAGCCAGAAACCAAGGAGTGCATAGGGGAGAGCAACACAAATGAATAAAGCCTCGGGAAAAAATGGGCAAGTTCAGCCTAGAGGAAGGACTCAAAGGAGCCAGCACAGTTATCTGCATATGAACTACTGAAAGGAAAAGGATCCTTTATATTCAGCAATTGGTGAAGAAAGTATCACAAGGGAAAAATACATAGGCATGTAGACATGTACTCTCACATGTTGTATGGGCATTTCTGAGCATATCTTTTCCTCTTTCCATAACACATGTGCTTTATATATATGCTTAACTTACTATGGGAAAGGTATAGATGAAGTACTACATCAAATAGTATATTAAAAATAACTGACTTTTAGAGGAAAAAAAGGAACAAATTGCCCAAGGAAAATCACAGTCTTCCTCAAAGACAAAGATATTCTCATCGATGCTCCTGTAGAACTATAGAATCATAGAATTGCTCAGGTTGGAAAAGATCTTCAAGGTCATCAAGTCCAAAAGCAACCTAATCATACTATCCTAACAACCCTCCACTAAATCATGTCCCTGAGAACCACATCCAAATGGTTTTTAAACACATTCGGGGATGGTGACTCAACCACCTCTTGGGAAGCCTATTCCCATGCTATACCTCATGGAACAGCCATATTCTGCTAAACACCACAGGAGCTGCAAAATCAGTAGGCTACAAGGACACCAAACGCCATCAAGCAGACAAAAACTGTGCTGTTAGTATTTGTGATTTGCAGGACATGGGCAGCCAGATGCTAATGATAACCAGCAGCCCCAGCAACAGATTTGTTGTGTAACATGCTTGGTGCTCAGGAGTTGTACAGCTGTCATGTGTAGGTTCGGGTTTCTGGCTTTCCAATTTTATTAGCAACAGAATCTTACCAGTTTACAGCTCAGAAGCAAAAGTGAATTACCGAGGCTTAACATTATACACTGCCTGAGTAATCCTAGCACTCTTAATATGAGAGACTGAAAATAAACTGCCTTAGCAGAAAATGCTTATCACCAAAAATTTGTGTCCATGGGTTTGGTCCTGTGGTTGCCACAGGCTAGGATTGAGCTGCTGCTCAGCTGATGTCTGGAAGCTTACTGAGTTAGGATAACTCAGTTCTGCATCTGGTCCCTCTGTTTAGCTAAAGCTGACGTTAAAACACCATTTTTGACATAGTGAGGCCTAAGGATAAAACAAAAGGTTATATCCTGCAGAAGTGAACCTGCCCTGGGAATAAATGGGAAGGAAAAAAGAAGCAGGGAAAGATTAAAGAGAAGGCTTGAGTCAGAAATAAGCGCTAAAACTACAGACGTGCATGTAAATATAAAACTGTAATACCCACGAGCTGAGAACTTCCTGG